TTGCCACCGAAATTAGGTAAACTGACCTGAAAATTACCCTTATCTTCGTCGTCGTCGCAGCCTTGACAATTTATTATAAAAGGAACTACTATTTTTTAAGTTATTATGTAAAGGTGAAATGATAGAAACAATACCGAATTCATACAAAATAATGGCGAAATGGAAAAATATAGGTTCTATATTTCTGCATAATACTTATATATCATAGTAATGGAAATAATACCCTAAGTCAGGGCCACAAGACATTTTATTAGAATTAGACAGTCAAACTTTATTATTACTGGAGGTTCGCTCCAATAAAATATGCTCACAGTGAGTTACCATTGTAACTGTATGTATAGCGATTTTTGTTCGCCATTCTCTCGATATAAACTCTAAAATAATTAGCATTATACAAACAAAAGAAATATAGATAGAAACTAATATTTTGAAATAAAAAAAATGTGGAAACTTAGTGGTATTTCTTTTTTAAGTTAATTTAAAGTGCAAGTTTTTATCTTATACTAAATTGTTTGGCTAGAAGCAACATTTTTATAATTCATCTCTAAGTAGAGTGTATCTGTTTTTGGAAGGAGCTAATTTTTTGAAAGAAGACTCTGGGGGTGTTGTGACCTTCACATTATCTTCTGTGTTCGCGTTGTGCACTGGATCCGGACCATAGTGAAACTCTCTGAAAAACAAAATAAAGTAAAAATGAACACATTTATTTCTCCACAAAACATAAGAAACACAATACTTAAAAACTAATAGAAAAAACAATTGAGTGATGTGGACAAAAAGGTTAGAGACTCAGCATTGCTGATTTTCAGTCTTCACCTTAGCTAGCTGTTCGCTTGTCGCACCAAGCTAATATGCGAAATGTACACCAAGGAATAAACACCTTAACTAATAACTAGTAATAAGTTAAAATTTAACAGTCCAAGTAGTTATATATTTTTTATTTAACCTAAAATTTAAAATTTCGTGCTGCTAGGAGTTTTAATAAAACACAAAATTGCTAAGCGGCTGATTACATTAATTACAATAATATCATTGATAATTAAATTGAGATATGTACTTGTTAATTATTACTACACAAATATCAAACAAGCCAGTACCTTCGATCTTACAGGATTTGAACCAGCTGTTTTTGCCACATCGGGGTATCCGCTCTTACGAACTGAGCAACAGATGGTCACTCATGGTAGCAAAAACATCAATAAAAATAAATATTATACTTCTTAATATTATTATGTGTCTTCTTTAACAAAAGCAAATCAAGTTCATTTGCTACTTCCATTATAAGAAATAGGAACTTGATGTTAGCGCGCCATTTTTTAATCCTTGAAATGGAACTTTGTTTGTTTTTTGTATATTCGTCTTGTGTGTTCATTATTGTATTATATTGATTGTATTGTACCTGTGTAACTTTCCCGAATACAAATCTTGCAGAAACTGTTTGAGTTTGCCTGGCTTTTCCATATCGCTGTAGTCGGAAAAGAGGTACATGTGCCGGAAGGAATCGATGGCGATCAGTGGCAGGTCAGAGATCGACTTGCCTAGGTGATGAAGAGGATGTTCGAACTTTATGCCATCGGCAGTCAGGAAGTTCACATTCTCTGTAAAGTTTAAAAATATAGAATAAAATATATATTGACTTAATTCTTTACAACTTCCCAATCCCAAAACGGCAGGCCAAATTTGTTCCTCATACCATAACCATAAGGGTCCTTCCTTAACTAACCTTTTGTACCAAGTACTAAGTATAGACAGAATTCAAATCCTAACAGTTCAAAACGGGAATAAACGCTATTAAACAATGTAATAAGTATTTGCACACGTAACTATTATCCCGATGTTTTGGCCAGGTTGCACAGGCAGTGGTTAAGGGCTAACTTGAGGCCCGTTTTGAACTCTTAGAATAATGGGAGGTGAGCCAAAAAAGTTCCCAAACTTTTTGGCTCACTTAGGCAAGATAAAAAAAAATTTGAACGCCCACCATCACAAAAAATTATTGAAAACACGTATTTTTTATATTAACACAAAAATCGCAACGAAAAAAAATATATATTCGTAGTGTAGTTTATATAGACAATTCAGGTTTTTTTTCAAATGCGATCGCACTCCATGGACAGCATCAACGCACCCCAATTGCTTTCGAGGTCCTTAGCACCAACCTAGGATTCTTCAGCGCCCACTGGTGGGCGGGACCACTTTGGGAAACTATGGTACAACTCAACGCGAAAGTTTAAAAGTATATAAAGCTGAGGTAATTGTTGAGATAAAGTTTATTTTAATTAAATTAACACCGTGGTCATGGGCTGACTGAGTCCCGTTTTGCATTGTTAGTAAAATGGAACGCGAAAGTTTAAAAGTGTATAAAGCTAAGATAATCGTTGAGATAACATTTATTTTAAATAAATGATCAGACATCGTTGGTCCTCCGAATAAACGTATATTATCTACACGTTTATTGCGTATTGTGCATGTGTAAATACTTTTAATGTTGAGACCATTTTTGGGTGACTTTATTCGCCTTATGTCATACATACACCCCGTAAGGTGTCTCGTGGCGTGTTAATTTTAAAGGCACGGAAACACGATAAATTATTTCACTATCAATGAAAAGGTCTTTCTGTATATTAATGGCTTTGCCTTCGCATTTAACCAATGAAAAGGTTGGCAAAACAGAATTACAGATTACGGAAAGAGTACGAAAAGGGGTGTGTTCGTTGTTCCACCTCCACGCGTGCGAAGTCCTTGAGCAGTCTGTGATGACATGTTGTCACAGACAGCCCAAGGGTATAGCGGGTACACCCTGGGGCCAACACTGACAACTCTCGGCTTCAGTCTGAGTCTTACCAGTGAGGGCGCGAAGCGATCAACACGGCCCGGCCATGTGTTTATGAGGGTGGACCATGGCAAGTGGTGGGCGGTCTTAATTTACATCCTCCTGCGTTCATGCCTACGCAGTTGAGCGCTGTACGCAGGGATGAAGGAATCCTGGGGGGTTGAGCCCGAGCGGGGTGGGGACCCCGGCAAGCAATACGCCCCCTTCGGCCCTGATTTCCTGCCAAACGGTAGCCCTGTGACTAGCCAACACAGGGAAACGGCAATGTGTCCCGTCAGAGGGCCACAGGCGAGGTGTGGGGGGGACGGACTGACTTTGATCGGGTCAGCCAGCCGCACATTTCGAGTCCCCGATGTCGCGCAGTGAGCTCGTAACTTCTGCACCTATACTCTCCTGATAATCCTGGTGTCCCGAATGGGACATCCCCAAAGGTGCGGGCTCCGTGGTGGGTGGGAAATCAGGAGAGTGAATCATAAGAACACTGCAATATGGATTCTGCAGATCAACAAAAATCATCAAATCACCCAAAACCGGTGGTACTGGAGGGGAAACCCAAAAGTGCCCCACAAAAAACAAACTCGAACGTACAGCAGCGCCCTACGGTGAGTGGTAGGCCAAAGGGGAAACCCCAAGGCCAACCGCGTACCGATGCCGGTGCTGGCCCTACACCAGCGGTAGCGGCCCGAGCCTCGTGCTCTGTGGCCCCCGCTCAGACACCTGGCTCTGCATCGCAGAACCCAACATATACTGCCCTTGAGGCAGGGTGGACTCTGGTGAGTCGCAAGCCCAAAACCACGGCACCCATCCATATGGAAGGGGAAAGTGGCCAAGGCCAGCGACCACCTCCAGCTCCCAGCGGGAGCAGGGGACGCCCTGCCCGAAAGAACAAACGGGGTCGACTCCGTGAACGTGAACGCCGCGAGATGAAGGGTAATCCGAAAGAGGGAGCGGCGCGGCCCCCAGCTGGTGGCGGGAATGGTGCAGAGACCGCGTTAGTGCGACCCACTGAACCGGACTCGCACGCCCCTGGAAGGGCCCCCCTCCCCCCCAAGGAACCAACAAGCACAGAAGGCACAGAGGTCCTCGACCTATGCCAAACGTGCCCGTCTCGACGAGACATTTTCTCCAAGAGGCGAGCGCAAAAGGCAAAAAGTCGAGAGGCCCGCCCAGTCAAGAACGTATGCCGAGGCCACCGCACCGGAACTTCTAGCGGTGATCACCTCGGCCAAGACATGATACAGAAGGCCCTTTGTGAGCGCCTCTCTCAAGGAGCAGAGGAATGCGGTGAAGAGGACGTCGGCCCACAGTTCCGAGGTAAACCCGTCTTTAGCGACGGGTCCCTAAAGCTGTGGTGCCAGGACAATGCCACCTTCCAATGGCTAGAGGACGCAATCAGCACCATCAGGCTGCCCACCGGGGAGCCCCTCTCATTGAAAAATGGGGTGGAGGCTCCCCGGAGGGTGGTCTGTGGACTGCTGATCCCCGGTCATTGGGAGGAAGCGCGCCGTATCGGACACTTGCTCACTTGGCAGAACAAGTGGGCGGAGGTCCACAGATGGGTTGTCCACAGGTTGCAACAGCAACAGGGAAACACTTTTGTGGTGGTAAGCCTACCTGAGGACCTGGTACCTGTTATCGTGGGGCATGGCCGGCGCTTTATTTTTCAGTTGGGCACGGTCTACCTCCGATTCAGGTCCAGAAGAGGAGTGTACACGGATGTGCCGCCTGAAAAGGCAGGTACATCGACTAACAAAACAGATGCCTCCCCGGTGCCCTCTACCTCCACTGGCTTCACCAGAGAAGGAAAAGGGCCCTCCCCGACCCCCGTCCCTGTGGACGTCGCCAGCCATACGGTGGCGTCCAATAGTGAGGACGAGTGCGTGTCGGCGATGGGAGACATCTGCCTGAGCGAGGATGAGGACGACATACTGCTATCGGCTGATGGCGGTGTCCCCCTCGCCCAATAAATGTACCGTCATACAGTGCAACCTCCACAGTCAGACCGCAACGGTTCAGCTTCGGAAGTGGTTGGAGGCAAACGACACAGCCGTGGCACTGATTCAGGAACCGTGGATCGGCGCCCGCGGCCAAATAAATGGACTCTCACATCTGAGAGGTAAGCTACTATCCACTACTATCTCAGATAAACCACGGACATGTATATACTACTCAAACAAGTTACACATACAGCCACTAACACAATTCTGTTCCAGAGACCTGTGTGCCGTAAAGCTTCTAGCTGATGCGGCCACGGGCCTGCCTGAAGTGGTACTCGCCTCTGTCTATATGGCGGAGACTGATGTGCCACCACCACAGGAAATGGTACAGCTAATCAACCACTGCCAGCAGAACGGCCAGCACATTGTCGTGGCCACTGACTCCAATGCCCACCATCCGCTGTGGGGCATGGAACTCGCGAATGAAAGAGGTAAGAACTTAACAGAATACTTATTTACAACTAACCTTCAAATTCTCAATAAAGGTACAACACCAACTTTTGTAAATAAAAGGTGTAGAACTATCATAGACCTAACCCTAGCGTCAGACGGAGCAGCGAATCTTGTCCATGACTGGCACGTGTCCGAAGAAGCATCTCTCTCGGACCACAGATGGATAAGATTCAACTTAGAAACAGTTATCAAAGTACAACAACCGAAACGGAACCCCAGAAAAACCGATCGGAAAATTTACACTGACAAACTACACCAGAGCCTGGAGAAACCGGTAGCACCGGGAAGACTGCTGGACACAGAACAAATAGAAATACAGGTTAAAGAACTGACGTCAAACATATTGAAGAGTTACAACTCCGCATGCCCATTAAGTGACCCAGCCCCGCGACAAGGCCACCAATGGTGGGGGCCTGAGCTTGAGAGGCTGCGAAGAAGGGTAAGGAGACACTTCAATAGAGCAATGAACACATGCGCGGATGAGGACTGGGAAAATTACAAGACGGTCAAATCCAAATTAAAGAAACGCATAAGATTCAGGAGCACCGCGTCATGGCGAGGCTACTGCGGGAACATCACGTCTTGTGCACAAGCGAACAGAGTAAGAAAAATCCTAGCGAACACAAATGCAAGTGAACTAGGTTCAATACGTAAAACAAACAACACATTCACAACTTCCCCTGAAGAAACGGAAAGAACCCTACTGGAAGCACATTTCCCAGGATGCAGGTTCGTCCGAGATGACAGGCGCGAAGAAATGAACTACAACATATCGACCCGAAACTGGCGATACGCTGAACAAGTAGTAACATACGAAAAAACAAAATGGGCAGTGAACACATTCGAACCATACAAAGCTCCGGGCCAAGATGGAGTTTTTCCCGCACTCCTACAATGGGGTGGGGACACACTGGCCCGGCACCTGGTCGACATCTTTCGGGCCTGTCTAGCCTTCGGCTATGTGCCCCATAGCTGGAGAGACGTAAAAGTCATTTTTATACCAAAACCAGGTAAGAACGACTACACTGATGCTAAATCCTTCAGGCCGATCAGCCTCACATCGTTCTTTTTGAAGACGCTAGAGAGGCTATGTGACAGAGAACTGAGGGACGGAGCTCTAAAGAACATTCCATTACACGGAAACCAACACGCATACTGCCAAGGCAAGTCCACCGAATCGGCCCTACATGCCGTTGTCGACAAGATAGAAGAGGCCCTTAAAAGCAAGGCAATCTGCCTAGGCACCTTTATAGATATTGAAGGAGCCTTTGATAAAACCAACTTCTCCAGCATACAAGCAGCACTAAGAAGACACGAAGTGGATGAAGTGCTGATCAGCTGGATTAGCAATATGCTCAAACAAAGAACAATAAGAACTACAGCGAAAGAGACCCCATGGGCCGTAGTAGCGAAAGGGTGCCCTCAAGGAGGAGTACTGTCGCCTCTGCTATGGAACATGGTCGTAAATGATCTCATCACCAACCTTAACAAAGAACACTTCTATACAATAGGCTATGCTGATGACATAGCCATACTGATAACAGGCAATTATGCCAGTACACTCTGTGACATCACACAAGCTGCACTCCGGATTGTGGAAAGATGGTGTAGAGCATATGAACTAACAGTTAACCCAACAAAAACAGAACTAGTAATGTTTACAAACAAAAGATTACTGGGTAACTACCTACTACCCAAACTCTTTAGTACAGAAATACAATTATCAACCGATGTCAAGTACCTGGGAGTAATTCTGGACAACAAGTTGAACTGGAACAAACACCTGGACAACAAAATTAAAAAAGCTACTATCACCTTCTGGCAATGCCGTAGAATGGTAGGTAAACAATGGGGACTTTCACCCAAGATAACACTATGGCTTTACACAACGGTGATAAGACCTATGATTAGTTACGGCGCGATAGCCTGGTGGCCACGAACCAAGCTGACGACTGCAACTGACAAGTTGGACAAATTCCAAAGGCTAGCATGCATGGCGACGACCGGCTGCATGAGGACAACTCCAACTGCGGCGCTCGAAGCGATGCTGGACCTGCGACCCCTCCCACTGTTTATCAGACAGGAAGCGGCGTCAACAGCAGTGCGACTAAAGAGAGCCGGCCTTTGGAAGCACATGAGGACCCCACATACAGAAATCCTTTACAAGATAGTCAAAGAGGAACCGCTACTGGAGGCGACTGTGGATAGGATCCCAAAACAATACATTTTTGACAAAAAATACAGGATACAATTGTTTGAAGATCCCAACGAAGGACTAAACCTCAGAGAGGTCCGCGTATTCACTGACGGATCAAAAACAAACTCAGGAACAGGTACAGGGGTGTTCTCAGAAGACCTCAACATCAGAATATCAACACCGCTTGGTGACCACAACACAGTATTCCAGGCTGAATGTATGGGTATCAAGTTGGCAGCAGAAGCAATAATAGCGAGAAGAGTAAAGAATCACTCCATTCGAATACTCTCCGACAGCATGTCAGTACTTCAAGCGCTGAGCAGCTATGACATTAACTCAGGGCTTATATATGAATGCCATCAAGCACTCATGGAGGTATGTACACACAACCACGTAATTCTACAGTGGATTAAAGGACACAGCGGCTCACGTGGCAACGACGCAGCAGACGAACTAGCTAGAAAAGGGTCGGAGACGGATGCTGTAGGGCCAGAACCCATAGTGTCCCTCCCCAACCAATGGTCAAGAACAACTATACTCAAAGGTACAAAATCTTCTCATAATAACATATGCCTTTCTACAACCCTTACGGTTTGTAGAAAGGCTAGGGAAGCACTCCCAACGCTCAACGCCAGTCTATCTCGTAAATTAATCAAACTTGAAAGACAAGAGCTGCGCACTCTATCTGCCGCTCTAACGGGTCATGGTCCATACAATAAACACCTTTTCAATTTAGGTATCACGGACAGTCCTCTATGCAGAGCGTGCATGGAGGGGGAGGAAACGGCCGCACACATCCTACTAGAGTGCTCCGGTGTGGCCAACTACAGGGCAAAGTACCTTGGAGTGCCGAGGTCGCTCCTCGAAGTCTTCAGAAAACCGAAGAGGCTGCTGAGATTCTTGGAGGAGCTTGGGTGGCACGAGTAGGACCCTGCACCCACCACACGCAAAATAGGCGCCTCGACGTCGAGTTGCGGAAACTAGCCCGTTGCACCAATACCAATACCAATACCAAGAGTACGAAATTTGAAAGAAAAAGTATATGGTATGTAGGGTAGGTGAGTAGCTATTATGGTATATAACTGTAGGAATGGACAATCCCTCTGGCATTTACACAAAAAGTTTATAAGAATTTTGTTATAATCTCGCGAGAATAACATTTTAATTGTTATATGAAATCTAATCGAAAGATGGGATTGTATTTAAAGTATATATATATGTTTATGTTTGACATACAAAAATAACAAACAAGACCATTATGTCAACTGGCGAAGGTATTTACGGTAACAAACGACTTTTAAACGATGAAATAATTTACACATCACAACAAGACATTGTATTTGATACCAAATATCAAATATTTCTTTTCGTCCTACAATTATTATGCGGTTGCAATCAAGCTTTTACTGAATTGAAATTATGCCTGATCAATAAAAAAATATATGGGATGCAAATTTATTTTCGTGACCTTCAAGGTTTTCGTGACTTTCAATTTTTATGCGACATTCGTTCCCAACGTCACACATTGCCCGCACGTTGCGCTTGTTAAATTTTCCATTTCAATTAATTTACTTGCAGAAATCATTACAGTTTGTAACATTGTTGATAAAAAATTTACAAGTTACGCTACTGATAACATTGCTTTAATACAATGGCTAGTATATTCAATTCACATAACTTAATATTAGTTAGTATGTTAAAAGATATATATATACTACTGGTGTCCTTTAAGGCCATGGAACAAGACAACTACTCATATACTGCTAACTACTTTACCATGGAAGAGTTCCATAAAACCAGAAAAAAAGCAATAAAAATGTATGAAACAGATTTAATATTGAGATTTCAAGGACTATAATAAAAGTTGTTTCATCAACTTCTGAATATGCTGAGTCATACTGTTCATTCAAGATCATAAATGAATGTTTTATTTATGGATATGAATGATTATGACAAACTAAACAATAAAAATTCTTATCAATAAATGTAAATAATGAACTTACAGGTACAAAGTATACAAACAAAATTACTCACTTGCTCTTATACCATTATCTAGGAAAAAATAAACAAAAAGCCATTATGAAGGAGAATGTGCAGATAGTAATTATAAGTGAAATAAAATAGAGCTGTTTTTCGTAAAGATTTTTGTAACCTATTACTTTATTTTGCTTTTTCATAATTTTATTGAAAAGATGACACGTGAACCAATGAAACATGAAGTGCATTTGGGATTGAGCAGCCAGTTATCTTATCAGTGTAATGGTCTTCACTTTTATATGTTTTATATGTTATAAAGCATATCTCTACTAAAGAATAATTCACGAAAATGTTTAGATTTAATCTGAAACTTACGTTTTTCTGGTTGCAATTCCCTACTGATAACTTCTTTGTACTTCTTAACACTCTCATTATCAGAAGGGTTATGAAAAAGAATTAGGAACGGCAATCCTTCCTCAGTCAATTCTTCTGCATTTTCAAACGTGATCTCACGGACAAGCGGAATACATTTTTCTTGTACCCACTCGTACAATTCATCAAAGTTGGTCAAAGAGCCAGTGTAGGTCTCATCAGGCTCTGTTGATGTTTTCTTGTCAGTTCTAAACACTATCACTGGTTGGCCTGAAATACAAGTTGGATATTTGCTGAGAATTATATTCACTTATTCTTTCATCCATTTATATTACACAATATTATAATTATAAAATAAAAAGTATTTGTCTCATTATCAACTAATTATTGTAACAGATGGTAAAAACAATATACAATGTGTAAAATTATAACAATGATTTGTAAAAATTGCTGAAAGTTGGCCGTCATTGAATAAATTCACCATTGGCTGTACTTCATGCTTTGTCAGTTTGAGACTTCCTTCTTCCAACATATTTAGCCTTTCACCTTTCACCAACATTCATGTCCAAGTTACTAAAAGTATGATTTTCATTTGTTTTGTTAATACACGCAGCAGTTACATTAGTCAAGCCTAACAGCCAGTACATGTAGCAGTTGAATTGATATACATTAAGGGCCGTATTCCAGAACTCTACTCAATGCTCAAGTCAGGATCTGAGTATGATTTCAAGCATTGGAAATACGACCCTAATGGAAGGGAATTGAGTATGATTTCGAGTGCTTTAAACCTTACACACATCCTGATTTGAGCATTGACTACAGTTCTGGAATACGACCCTTAAATAAACAATATATGGAACATCAACTAGTATCTATTTACAATAATATTATCTCATGTACTTTATATATGGTTGTTTGTCTCTTTCACTTGAGTGTATGTATACCTGTGAAGTTGTTAGGTTTTTGCAATTGTTACATGAAGGAAATTAACAATTTTTTTTTTTTCAGATCTAATTCACATACATTTGTTTCAAAAACAACCAAATACAAGCAATTTAGATCCAAAAACAATAGTACATTCCCTATCTATATATACTGTTTGGTGTAAATAATGTATGTACCTGGTGGGTGCATCTGTATGGAAGCATCCCCAAATCCAGCATGGAAGATGCACTCATCTTTAAGACTGCCTGCAACCCTTCTGAGTATCTGGTACTCCGGTTGATCTCTTCTATCCAAATAACCAATGATATGCCTCTTGTCCTCAGCCAAATCATGCAGTTCCTTAAGACTGGTAAATTGGACTACTGGATCAGTCAACTGCTTCTTGACAAACTCCGAGAATGCTTCTACTGAGCGCTGTCCTATAATTAAACAATTTTTTGCATTATATACAGTGAACACAACTTACAATTCGTTAATATTGTAATGTTATTCAATTAGAAAAGTAAGATCATTCTCAATATGAAAATTGTATGATAAAGTTAAGTATTGTAAGTAAGTGGTGGTTAGCATTAAGATAATTTTATCACTTGCCTCTATATTCTTTTTTCGCTGGCAAACCATTAAGGAAGAGCTTCAAAGTAGGATATTTAGTTATATGGAACCTAGTAGCTATTGCCCCTTCTTTGTCACAGTCTACTTTGCCTATGACCACTTTACCAGTATCATACCCGGCTTTTGAGATCTCATCTGCTGCATCATCCCAAATGGGCATTAGCATATTGCTAAATCTACACCACTCAGCATAGAAATTAATGAACACAACCTCATTGGAAGCTGGAAAACAATATTAGACATCTTTAATTAAGGAAAAATATATAAAAATTTCTTGTTAACATGTACATACATACATACTGTGAAAAAACTGTCTAAAAACTTGTACACACACTGCAAAATAAGTTTTATGATAACGACAGGAAGGAACCTTGAAATTTAGTTACTCGAACTAAAAATAACATTTTAACAGCAAGCTAAAACACGATATATTGGAATAACCGGTGTCGTCTTCATTAATAGGCAAGATACTCACCTAACACCATATCCAAATTACTCTGCGTAATTTGAACCGCACCGCTATCGGTTGGATTATAAAAGCAGTGGCACAACTGAAACAAAACAAACTCCAATATTTGCAAAGCAATTACTTACTCTTAATATACCATAAAATCAACAATCGGTGCGTTGAATACGTGTAAAACCGATTTCATTGGGCACTTTTGAAAACAATTTCTCATCTCAATCCCACTTACCAAAATAATAAAGGATCCTATAAATTTGTAGTTTAATAAGCGGAAATTAACACTATCCATTTTTTTCTAAAGATTCAGTATTTTACAGAAATTTTCTCCTAACCAAATCCACCGACACCAAGTACAGCACCACCATTTAGAGTCAGTGTTACCAAGCCAAAGAAATGTAATTCGTTCAGTTGCATAATTTTCATACAGTAGGTAATTTTTTTATTGACTATGGGCTATAAGAAAGATTTTGATGAAAACCCAATGGTCATCTATTCATTCGATTTTATAATAATCATGCAAAAAATAAAAAATAAATTATAATAATTTTTATTCACCAATATTGTTTAGATTACAAAAATCAGAATAATGTTATCTATCACATGGCGATGGCTTGAATTGGACATGAGGTGAAAAATAATTTCCCTTAAAAGCGGGAGTTCAACAACACCAATTGATTAATCTCTTAGAGGATGGAAAAAAATAAAAGAATTAATCCTTAGACCAATGTTAGTGTCGTCATTCTCATTAACAACATTCGATTTCCATTTACTCATTCTTAGTAAAATTATGTCTATAAGTTCATTTTGCTTTTCGTTATTTTGTAAAAATCACGGATCACTTTCATGGGCAAACGTCTTAATTTGAAAAATAATCGTAGTTAAAAACTTTGGTTGGTAGAATAAATCCATCCTAGGAATAAATCGGAGGGTCAAGGGCACGTTCAATCTTGACACATAAGATTTGAACAACACTATTGGGTCGTATTCTAGAACTCTACTCAATACTCAAGTCAGGATTGCAATTGAAACATAAGCACTGGAAATACGACCCTAATGGCACGGACTTGAGTATGATTTCTAGTGCTTTAAATCATATTCAAATCCTGACTTGAGCATTGAGTAGAGTTCTAGAATACGACCCTTAGCCGAGAGCCGATAGCCGATAAGAGCAGTTACACACGGTGCCTTTTAGCAGAAGCAGTGCGTTTGCAGCGATTCAGTCACGATGTAGTAGCGACTAATGCAGTCGTTTTAACCGTCTAGCTTTACACACACGCGCCTTAAAGACCCCCACACTAGCGTCTTTCGAGCGTCAGCGTCTTGCCACATACGCACAGCGTCGACACGACATCCGCGTGGCGCGGCGCAACGCCATCGCGGCGTCAGTGAGCGACTGCTGGGGGTCTATTTCCGTTCTTTTGATTTAGTCGAGTATGGAAAAATGTATATCTAAAATGTAAAAAAAATGTATATGTAAATCTAAAGTTTATTGACAATTTTGAAACTAAAACTACAAATGAAAAAACATAGCATGAGTAGTTAGTAGTTATGAGTAATTTTTAATATCTATACGTGAAGTGTGTGCCCCATAACTCTCCTCCCTATACATATATATATAGAATTATAGACGTTTCGAGTTGTTTGGGAGTGCTCATTGAGAATGTGGCATTAATTTCTAAATCCAAGATGGTTGCCAAGAATTTTCAAAAATTTATTTTTGGTAATCCTTATGGAAATGGAATACATGATGACTGACACGACTTTTCGCATTTCTAAATGCTCTTGAGAAATCGTGTCCGCCACCTTGGATTTACAAATAAGTGTTATTATTCGTAATGAGCACCCCCCCAATACCTCGAAAACGATACCCAACTTGCCATTATTCTTCTATACGCCTTCTTGGATTAGGAAATGAAGGCCATATTCGTAATGAGTATCCCCAAATCCCTCGAAAAGGATACCCAACCTACCATTATTCGAAAAATCGTGCCCGCCATCTTGGATTTAGAAATGAGTGCCATATTCGTGTTGAGCATCTCCAAGTACCTCGAAAAGGATACCCATATTGCATTTTTTGAAAAATCGTGTCCGCCATCTTGGATTTACAAACAAGTGGTATATTCGTAATGAGCACCCCCAAATGCCTCGAAAACGATACCCAACTTGCCATTATTCGAAAAATCGTGCCCGCCATCTTGGATTTTGAAGTGAGTGCCGTATTCGTATTGAGCATCCTCAAATACCTCGAAAAGGATACCCATATTGCATTTTTTTGAAAAATCGTGTCTGCCATCTTGGATTTACAAATAAGTGTTATATTCGTATGAGCTCCCCCAAATACTTCGAAAACGATACCCAACTTGCCATTATTCGAAAAATCGTGCCCACCATCTAATTATTTATTCAAGTGTGTATACATCTTAACAAGGATACGAGTGGGTCCAAATGTCTATCTTGATTCTACTATTGAAATTTGGCTCGTGTTCAATGAAAACAAGCAGTAAAAAAGCAGTAATATTTAAAAGTTTATTTAGCTCATGTGTGTAAAAATTACAACTCCTATGGTTTTTGCTTAAAACTAGTTAAGGCTTTGCAGTAAAGCAATCAGGGCCAGTCACTAAAATGTTATCAATGATATAACTTCAAGTAAGAAAATGCTAAACATAATAAATATTAATATTAATTTTTCTTGTTTCATAATCTTTTATATTAAAAAAAAATAGTGAAAATAAAAAATTATAGTCATTTATATTCTCTAAATATCTCAAAATGCAATTTTATATTAAATATAATCCTATCTTTGTCCTAAGTACGCCATTGAATTTTTGATTATTACATTTTTTTTTATGTGACTGGTTCTACCTATGTACTTATACTAATTACAAAAGTAGTGTCTTAGGACGGAAAACTTCACAGTAAGTCAAAGTATTACAATGCATACACTATAAAAATATTATTCTATAAAAATTGCGATTTTAATACCTATATGTAATATAATCATGGTGTGGTGGAGATTCCTTTCAATAACTGAGGCAGTTTTAGATTGTTAAAATATACCTTGGTATATGTATGTATATATACATTAAAAAGTTGTAAATATACACTTTACAAGTTGCAATCTGTAATATTCTGGGAATGTACATATATTTTTAATATATCAGTCAAATTGTTGATCAACAGTTTTAGATCAGAATATAATTGAGTCATATACTTTATAATATTCCAATAGTTGTTATTGCAAGTGCAGATCCAAATAATATAATGATCGTCGGTCGAATATTTGCAGTTCCGCTCTGTAAAAAAAAAATTTTTCAAAACATTGTACAGGTAATCTACATGTTAAACCTGTCGCGCGTTCAGAAAGAATTGGTAAGAGATACACAGTTTCTCTAATGATATTGATACTGTAGCATCCTAGAACCACACAGTGTCTCTGAAACGCAGCAGCAATTTTCTTCCACCATTTACAAAAATTTAAAAGACATTAAATAATTTATAAAAAAAAGTAACTGCTTCTATGGCCGAACGGCCACCATAGGTCCCAGGTTCGATTCCCGGGCTAAAAAAATATTTGTATGACCTACATTATTTGTCTTGTGAGTTTGAGTGTCACTTGTGGTTGTCTATGTGTGTGTCCATAGCACCCATCACAGTGTTTCCCTAGTGCAGGACTATAAAAAAAATCCAAAACCATTATGGAGACATGTACGACAATTAGACACATAGCGGGTTTATAGGCTTATTTTATATAGAATTATAGTCACAAATTCATTTACTTAAAACTTAACTCAGAATATCAGATACAGGTTCTGAAAATACAACATACTTAACATGACAAATGCGTTGTAATAAAAATGCTGTAAAAAAACTTACAATGATATAATAGTTGCATCTATCGCCTTGGCAACAGTCAGAGCACACCCAATCTTGATACCAAATGTGAGTACATAATGGCATATTGCGCTGCCTCGTCATCGCACATTCTGTTTTATTAGAACAGCGCTTCGATACATAGTACTGTTTCTGCGCTCCCTGCGACCAATATGGGGTGCTACCCCATTTGATTTCAGTCAAACAAACATCTTGGCTGAAGTCACAAGTCTTGATTGTTTTAACGCATTTTTCATCATTATCCTCTTGATTTTCGCACACATAGCATTCTAAGCCAAAGACTGCAAGGAGAAAAACAAGCTATAGGCTTCTAATAAATAAGATACAGGCTCATGAACTCGATCATTGTTTATGGGACTACACTGACCTTTGACAAGCGATATTGACAATATTATTGTTGCGGTTCCAAAAATATAGTATCTTCTCATGTTAACAAATTGAAATTAACAGATATATTGTTAATTTTAATTCTTCATTTGCTGTTAATCTTGAATCAAAATTTCTTTACGAGTACCTACCACACCCGAACGGATTTATTTGTTTGACAGTAGATGACAGCTGATGGCTCGATGGACGCTAAAATCAGTGCTGCCAGATTCAATTTTACAAAAGGTGTAGACCACAAACTACTAATACAAGACCATTCGTCGCAATTGATTTAATTGCGATTGATATTAATTGCAATTGATTTTAATTGCAATTGATTTCAATTGAATTGATTTTAATTGCAATTAAATTTGCAATTAAAATCAATTCCGGCCGGTTGGGGGCCCGGTTAAAGGCCCCGGTTGGAGGCCCCGGTTGTAGGCCCCGGTTGGGGGGCCGGTTGGGGCCCCCAACCGGCCCCCTAACCTGCCCCCACAAGGCCCCCACAACCAACGCCCTAACTCACCCCCATATGCCCTATAAATTTATCATAATTGTCAGTTTTAATTGTTAATTGTTAATCAAAAGCAATGAAAAGATTGAAAATTGATTAATTGTTAATTGTAGATATTTGCGATTAACGATTGATCAATTGTAAGTTGCGAGAACCGTTAATTGCTGTTTCGCAATTGACAATTAATCAATTGTCAATCTTTAATTGCCAGAACAATCAAATTTTGCCCAACACTGGTTTATAGTACACTCACACTTAGACAAATATTGTTTAGTTTTCTAATGAATCTAAAAACAAGGGATTAAGTAATTACAACTACCTATTTAATTGTTAAAATATTCTTGTTTATTTATATACATTCTTAAGTTACACACTAAAAGGAACTGTTTCTCCTTTGGAACCTACTGAAATCTTTATTTCGAGACTCTGAGGCTTCTTCCGAAAGAGTCCCAATAGGCACAATGTCGTTTTTCTCTATCATGTCAACCCCGTGAATTAATAATTTATGCACAGGTGGCGACATGTAATACCAGTCGTATAATTCTACGTATTTTTCTGCTGTTTTGCGGGCAAAATCTTTGAATTTGACAACGTCAATCTTTTCTCCAGATGTGATTGCCTGCAAAATAACAGCAAATCTCTTGATAAGTTCTTCATCCAACCCGGTAATAGTTGCAGTTTTTTTGGGAAACTTGAAAAACTTTCTGGCTGTATTCCCATCATTCGTAGTTCCTGAACCTTGTTTCACTATATCAATCAACAGATTGAGCTCATCTTTGAATTTATTTTGAATCAGTTCCTTTCTTGTCTGCAATATTTCTTTGTGCTCATTACTTCTCGTAGCCCACTGTTTGAAGTCAAGTCTGTACGCAATGTGTAACAGACATTCCATGCAATTTATTCGGGCATGTAGGGATGACAAGCCAAACTCATATATATCAGAACACACGGTCTTTGATGTTACAGCATCTAAGCGGTTCATTTCTATTGGTTTCGATAAACACAGGTAGCACGATGCATTTGATCTGGCTTCAGAAAGATAAGTGCAGACTTTACCGTCGATCATTGTCATCATTAGTTGATGAGTCATACTGTTACTATTACTGCATTCTGTGGGGATAAGGGCCTTAATTTCATCATCCATTAGTCTTTTGTGATCAAAGACAACTGCTTCGCTCTCTTTTACAAAAGTAAACTGAACTGGACGGCAAATACAAAGCCGGGCAAGGTTTTGGGTTCGTCCATAAAGTATTATCTCCATCTGTCAGTTTTAATGGCACTAATGTCGTCATAAAAATGCTTGAATCATCTTGCTCGCCTTCCATTTTCTGTTTATATCGGCTTTGGTTGGAAGCACCATCAAATCCCCACTTAGATATTAGCTTTAGCTGTTTATTTTGCACATCATCAGAAAGACTTTGAAGGATCCTAGTAACCGTGATGTCAAGTAAAGCTTGAAGGCTAATCCTGGCCGATGAATCCGTAGCTGATACTGATTGCTTCGGAGGATAGCAATCAAGCTTGGTTTGTTGCACTTTATAGTAGGATAGATAAATACCCTCAGCACCTTCCCGAATGGCAGCCTCTCGCAACGTAATATATTGCCACGTTGACAGTTTTAGTGAAAGAAGCAATCCAAGCGCTTTCTCTGGTGTAAACATGACTGTTTTCAATGGTTTCTTAAGCGTTTTATTGATTGTAACGGCTGCTTCTGGATTTTTCATCATATACTCGATTACAGATGCAATAACATCATGCCTTTCTTCTTGCAAACGTGCTGCAGCTGCATATGCTAATTCACTGGAATTTTTGCCTGCATGATCATAAGATCTTCTCTTTTTTTGTTTGCTTCCCAGATCTTCGAATGGTTTTCGGGACCTTTTCGTCATTGTTCCAACACACGATGAAGTAGACGGTTCTTGAGAGACTGAGTGTGTGTCTGGTAACTCATCAGCAGTTGGTTCTTGATGAAGTAAAGTTTGCACACAACTTGGCCAATCAATATTTGCTTGCAGCCAATTCCCGTATCAATGAATCGTTTGGATTTCTTCCACCTCTGTAAAGCAGCTCGCGTGAATCTCCGACAAAACTCTTTCAGAGTTACTTGATCTTCATCAGAAAGGCAATCGCCTATGCGGGATACAATAGCACCAAACAATACTTCATGATTAAATGAAGTACTCTCACTTTTTAGAAGAACGAACAAGTCTAAATTGGTGATTAAACTTTCCATTTTCAAATTTTGATCAAAGAATTTAATGTTAGCAGTTACACAGTTGTGAACGATATAAATTATTAAGCAAAATGTTAGCTCTTTTATTGCAAAAAGTCGATAATTAGTTAGTTAATTAGTTAACTACCCTCATTAGAGTTTAAAAATATGTGCGCTTAAAATATATATATATATATTTTTAGAACTGAAAGCACAACTAATCAACAAATTAGCTTACTCATCAGAAAAAGCTTAATTAAGTCCATAGTTGGCATTGTTGTGCGGTATTGAGAATCATTTAATCACCTATTCTGACTCATTAGAAGACAATATCGTTGTAATTACTTAATTAATCACTTGTTTTTAGACTCATTATAAAAGTAAACAATATTTGTCTAAGTGTGGGTGTACTGTAAACCTCTGCCTACTCTTTGGGAATATGGGGGTGATAGTATTTTATTGTTACGTGTTGTAAAAAGTTTGTGTTCCTCAACTCAAAGACAATCATTTCGTTTCACATGTAAAATTAAATAAAAATATTTTGATGATTTTTTAAAAAAAAACAGCATTTATGACCGTTATCTGGAGTATGCCAAAAAATCATAAATAATTAGTACTATAACCGCCTGTAAGGATATTACGGTTTTCCTTGCCGTTTAAAAGATAATTCGATTTTTTATACAAGTTTCATACAAATTTTTCGAAAAAAAAATATAACTCCTTCGTTTTTGAACATAATCAACTCGGGTGTCATATTTGTACATAGTAATAACTAAAAGAAGCAATATTAGGCAAAAAAACTGACACTTGCAAATTGAAATCCCTAAGTCTATGAAAGCCGATTTTCAGCCCACCGTGTGGCATCGTAATGCCATCATTCCGCACGTTTTGATAACCACTGAAATGAACCAGAGAAAAATCGTAATCCGAGAATCATCACCTTAATTAAATAATCGTTTGTTTATTTGTAATATTGCTGTTTAATTTCCGCGCAATCGAAGTAGCAGAGTATATAACTCGTTCATAAAACCCATTTTACCCTCGACTTAAGTAGCCATACTCGCCTGCGGCACGGATGGGTATACTCGTCTCGGGTAAGATGACGTGTTTTATGCTCTTGTTGTACAATCTACTATTTATTGTTATAGAATATTATAGTAATATTAAACTTAACAAAAATTATATAGTTTCATTATTATTTTATTTTTGACCAAGAATCTAAAAAATGTTATAACTCGTATTCCACATGTCAGTACAAATGTAGTTTTATAATTTGAAGTAATGCCTCGTAAACCACATTTTTATTAAAACTAAAGCAAATGTTAATTAGTTTAAGATGTTGAAGTAATGTTGTTAATAAATAAAGACTAAGTTTTTACCAAAAGTTAAAATTACACGTAAAAAAATTTACATTATTTTATCGTTTATTTAAAGTTCAGTCAATGTGGCATAGGAGGTATTGCCTGTTAACCGTCGATATATTGGATAGTCTAGGTTTAGATGTTTCGGCAAGTAAATCAAGATTTTTGTATTTTTAGTAGAGGTCGCAGATTTCCACGTGTAAGTCTATAAGTACATGGACGGGAGTTGCGTTCTGAGGAAACATTTAAATTTTTAGGGGCATGGCTAGACCGATCCTTAAGGTGGGGTAAGCATATCAATTACGTGTTTGAAAAACGCAGAGATTTCTTAGTATTTTAAAAGTCTTAGTTAATGCCTCATGAGGAGTTCATCCTAAGCATCTTCGTCGGCTGTACATTTCTTTAATTCATAGTGGAATGGATTATGCTTGTTATTTATATGACAATAGTGCTAAAATGTACGTGTATAAGCTGGAAAAGGTTCAAAATCAGGCCATGAGGGTGGTAGGAGGTTTTATTAGAACAACTCCTATTCATGTAATGGAGAGCGAACTTTGAATACAGCCGTTACATATCAGATGACAATTTTTGGCAACTAAGTTTTACTTAAAACACTTTCCTTTGGCAATAATTTAACAATTAGTATGATTCGTGAGTTAGAAACCCAGTGTCGGCTACTACTCGTAGCTACTGGAATAAATACGAAACAGAAATACGAAAACAAAAGCCGTTATTGGGTGTAGTAAGCTAGGAAGTTTCCGATGAACACATCTTCTATTCATATCCTTTACCTAAGTTTAAATTAAGTGTCTGAGTGTCAAAAATTTAGTTAGATAGTGTACTATCCTACACGTTGGAATGTATTTCTCATGCTAAACGTACTTATAATAGTGATATTCTTCGCATGGATGTAATTTTAGAATTGCAAGAAAAGTATTCGGGTTGGTTTAAAATATTTACTGATGGCTCTAGATGCGATGATAAAATAGGGGTAGCTTTTTTTGACCCACTTAATAATAGGAGGGGAGGTTTTAAAATTACCTCTAGCATAACAATAATGTCGCCAGAGTTATATGCAATATGTGAGGCGTTGTCGTATATGGAGACGTTAATTTGCCAAAACGTGGTAATCATGACTGATAGTAAAAGTGCCATTCAACGTAATAGCTCGGTATACTTATGGCAAACGGTGTATTTCATTGGCTTATAATGTTACGACTAGTGGGAGATGCTTGAGGTTGCAATGGGTGCCATCACATATTGGCTTGCTAGGGAATCAGGAAGCGGACCAGTGACCCATTGCGACTGCTTCAGAAGGGCCTGAGGTTGACATTGTGCCTGACGCCTCTGAAGTGGTTGCAAACAATAAGAAAAAGTTCCATTCTCGTTGGAAGAAATATTTCGATATGAGGTCCCAGGAAAAAGGAATCTGGTACAACACCACGCAGAGTGAGCCTCCCCGTGTCCCTTGGTTTGACTATGTTAAGTTAAGCAGGGGTCTTCGGGCTTCGATCCGGACACGTTCCATTAAACAAATTTTTGTATTTGATGAGGAGGGTGAACTCACCGAATTGCGAAGTGTGTGGGATTCCTGAGGATGTACATACATCGTTTGCACATGGAGTGTGTTCGGACGGAGCCTATCAGGGCGCAGTTATTTGCACAGGCTGGTTTCCGTACATTTAATGTTGGGTGGTTTAAATCTGTTTTGTCGGAACCAACATGTAGGCCATGCCGTGGAGGTTTTGTGTAACATGGATTTTATTAAGTGTTTCCTTGATGTACCGTTTATCTAATAAGACTGACATGTTCAATAACGATCAAATCCCCTAAATAAATAAAGATTAAAAAATAAAAATGTCTGTACAAATAGTGGACATTTTTCCGCAAAAATCCCCGAAAAACTGGAGAAACATAGTTTCATTTTATTATATTATGTTCTACGTGTAGAAATATCTTTTGAAGTTTTGTTAAGCGTGAATTATAAAATAAACTTGTATAGTTATTTATAAGCCACCTAGGAGAAAAATAAGATTTAAAATGATTCTCAACAGCGAAAAAACCAACGAAAACCTCCATTTTCGTTCAGTACCTTCAACTTTTGACAGGTGTCAACGTCAAACGTGGAAAATTAAAGAAAAAATTAGGGAAAAATATCTGGAAATTACATATTGTATTATTAATTTTTCTGAAAAATAATATTTTTTTTCAAAATGAATTTTTTTCATGACTCAACACTAGCCGTAGGACAAGTGACTTTGCTGTTGTCAGCCACTTGTGTTGGTGTGTCCGTATGGATCTCAGAACAATTACTAAAGGTATGGATAATATTAAATATGATATTTTTTTAATGGAAATTTTTCTTTGACCCAACAGTATTACGATTTTCGGTATCGATATCAATTTACAAAGTCTTCGGCTTCGGTCACTTCATATCTGCCAAATTTAGGGTCGTATTCCAGAACTCTAGTCACTGCTCAAGTCAGGACTTGAGTATGATTTTAAGCACTGGAAATACGACTCTAGCGGCAAGGAATTGAGTATGATTTCTTGTACTTGAAATCATACTCGAGTCCTGACTTGAGCATTGAATAGAGTTCTGGATACGACCCTTAGCTGATATTATTTAGCAAGATTCGGTATTTATAAAATTACTGTGTTTCACATGGTTACATAAATATGTACTACATACGTAAAAAACGTAAACAAATTTCTACCATTTTCAAGTAAGGTTTTATTTTTCTTAATTTACTGGCAACCCTTTAGTACCATTTTAGGGAATTCCCCGAACATGTGTGTTCGTTTTCGAGTTGTATTAAGCTCTAGGTAGTCGTTGAGTAGACATTTAGTTCTGTTTTCTGTGCAAATTTATAAAAATGAAAAGGAGTTACGACCAGAACTACCATTCTGAGTGGGATGTTCTATGTTTTCATCGCGGCTATCAAGAGCCATGGATGACTCCAACTCAGCTTTTTGTAAAGCGTGTAATACCAAATTAGTACCACGTCTTTCAATTTTAAAAGATCATTTCAACACAGCCACGCATCAAAAAAGTATTATTTGGATATAATGGACAGTCATCGGTAAGTGACGTATTTCTGATTTCAAGAAATATACGAAGTCCTACAAAAATCTATACTATTACAGTACAATGCCAGAGTTCCATAGGGGCCACCCCCGTAGCATGGCGCGGCGCCAGGCGCGCGATAAAATTGCAATAAGCGCACGCTAAAATCTCTCTATATAAATTGGATCTGATTGAGACAGCCAATAGCTCGCGCTTATTTCAATTTTATCGCGCGCGTCGCGACTATCATGCGTAGCCATGCTACGGGGGCTGGAACAGCTAAATGAAAGTTCACGGCCCTTTTTAATTGCACTGGATTTATATTTTATTTACTGCAGAAAGTTGATAAAACAACAATCAAATTATAATAATAATCTAATACTCAGTTATTCTGTAGTACAGGTCTTAATAATATTCTGTGGTAGGCACAGACATAATATAGATATAATATATCTGTGGTGGTACGTATAATCGGGGATGCATTAAAGGTAATAAATACTTGTAGTTAGATTTTCACTATGACCGATTGAGGAATGAGATAAAGATGGTATATGCAAAAAAGGTAGGATTTTCGAAAAATACGTATTAAAATATTGAATGTGTCGTAATTTATTTCTGAATTAACTTTACAATTATGAACGAAAATAAATTTACTAAAATTAAATTTATTTTTACGAATCTTTCTAAAATATTATGTTTTTTCTCCAACTTATCTCAAAGTTTTTTAAGTGAAAGGAATGTTATATGATAACGTATTTTAAGATGGATATAAATTTTTAGCTGGCCACTTTCAATGATAAATCACACATAAATGTTTGCTTTTATTATTTCTTCAAATAAAATTTATAATTTATTTTTTGCGAAGGCAGAGTGAACTAAGGCTAAGCACAGTCTTTTGTTAAACTGTATAAACAGATATTACAATGCTGGTGCATTGCATTGTAATGATTATTTGTATTATTTGTAGTTTAGTATGTAGTTCATTAATGTATGAATTTTTATTGCAGGTGCAAACATTCCCTAAAAACGATTTAACGGAGCAGGATAAGGAAAGCAGAGATAAAGATGTGTTCTTTTTTGGTTGAACACAATTTACCATTTGGGATCATGGACCATTTAAGTGATTTAATGGAAAAATGTTTCCATTATTCACAAATCGCTAAATCGTTTTCATGCAAACGAACACAAGCTGGCGCATTAACAAACAATACAATGTTCTGAAACCAGAAATGAAAAAAGAAATGCATGCTGAATTGGCTTCTTCTCTATTTACACGCTCCCGAAAACCTATATTTTCAGTTGTTATCGATGAAATCACTACAAGCATATCGGCCGATATATAATTATAATATCTGTAAGTAGTATATTATTAGGGCATCTGGATACAAGGAGTTATCCAGACGCCCTAATAATATCTATTCAAGAAGTCATTACATCTATTCAAGAAGTCATCTATTCAAGAAGACATCTATTCAAGAAGTCATCTATTCAAGAAGACATCTATTTCAAGAAGTCGTCTAAAAAAACTTTTTTATTTGACAAATTTCGTCTATAGCAGACTATTTCTATGTATTCAAGAACATTACCAATTCACTGTTTATTTTAAGAACAAAGTATTACAATGTCACAACGCTTCCAATTGAATGCATATGGTCTGGTATTTTATAATATTTATACTTATCAAATGACACCGCTATGCAGAGACGATAGCAAATGCGCGCGTGTCTCGATCATTCATGATTAAGTACCTGATGCAATTCGCAATGTAAGCTTAACGCTTTGTTATATATTCTATTCCTTATTCAATTTTCTACCCGACTACGTCGAAAAAAAGGAAGGTAAGGAATAACGGGTATTGATAAAAACAATGAATGTTTCAAATATAATTTATTAATAAAACGTATCTACATTTTTACAACATTGTGTAACCATTACTAGAGTCTGTTGTTAGAGGCGACATAATTTTATCTATAATATCTTTTGTTGAGTGGTAAATGTCATCCAATAAAATGTTTCTCACCGCGTATTGCACACACAAATCTGCTTCACATTTACACATTTGGTCACTATTCTGTATTTGATCAGTATCATAGATCTCTATTTTAATAACCTTGCTCGCACCACTCCGAAGTCGCTTTTTTATATATGTATAACATGTAGTCTTTTCGGATTTTCTTTTGCGTCCCAATCCGAGCCGCGTTCCATTTGGAGATAAATCTCTTTGTGATGCAGCGCTGGGCACGAAGTTGAATAATTGATCTCCGGAATCCTTAAAACAAGTTGAAAGTAAGTATTAATTACACATCCTCAATTCATTGTTAATATTAAAATTATTTATTTATTTATTATATTTACAGTATATAAAACCTGTACAGGTTTCTCAACAAATTTAATCTAAAGAAAATTAAAAATAAATTTTGGCTAACTTACCGACATTTTATGACAACTGCACAAGAAAATAAGTTTTTTAATAATGATTATTTTACTCCCAATTTACCCGTTTATATTGAGTGAAGGCAGTGCTAATAGGGTTCAAAATTAACATCGTACTTACTGTATTTTTTATTCAATACTCATCAATAAATCTAATATAGAGTGCTCGACGCCGAGAGTAAAAATGACTCCGTTTGTGTTTACTTCCATTTATGATTACTCGACTACAGCGGAGCGAACAGGAGGGTTATGATTTCAGCAGCATACCTAAGTGTATGTATCTAAGTGTGTATGTATTCATCTGTTCTATCACTGAGCCAAAACTGCTAAAACGATTCCAAGTTATGAGGTATCGTTACATTGAACTCAATTATGCCGATTATTTAGGTACCTACATCATATACTTATATAGTCTAAAAAATAAGAACCTTTCGTTTCAACATACCTTTAAAAGATCTCTTCAAATATATCATATAGAACATGATGCAGCAAGTGTGATGTAGTACAATATTTATAAAGATTTTTATGATGAACACCCATGCCCAGCAGTGGGACGTATAACAGTGTTGATGATATGATCTGACTAGTAGTTTTGATACCAATGTTTCGTTGCCGGGGTTTAATTTTGTAACTTTTATATTCGTAGTATTAAGTGAATTGTTGTATGAAAAATTCTGTAAGCAGGTATATTTTCAATAAAATTATGTTATTAAGATTAATGATAATACAAAATGATACATCGCACACTCAATTCTATCATTTATTTAGTAAGACAAAATTATAGTTCTTATTGCATAAAGAAGAAGGTTGAAATTATACAATCGATTTATTAAGCAAAGAAAAACATTTACAAATGCAAAATATCCAATCAATATTTCACATTTTATTTTTATGCTACCTTATCCACTTAGAATTAGAATCGATATTAGAATTAACTTACCGATGATTGCTGCATATCATACTGAGTATTTGTTTTTGCATTTATGTTGACTGTGCATTTTCCTATTTTGCTTCATATACAAATTACAAATATGGGTAAACGTGACGCGTATGAAGGCCTATATAGACCGGTCCTCTCTATCCATATTATTGCTCAGATCACCTTCCTACAAGACAATAGGACAGCTCAAAAAAACAAATCAACCACTGCAAATAACTAAGAACAATGTAAGTGCATTTTAAGTACTAAAATAAATTTATGTTACATAACTGTGCCATCTATTCGAACTATTCATCAATTATAATTAATTATCTATTTTATTCCATTATTTTTTTTTCGGACTATTTATTTTTTAGTCCAAATCCGAATCTATTTACTGTGATGAAGAGTCGCGGGTTCGAATCCTGCTGGGGAGCAAAATTAGTGACAAGTACAAATGCGCATACTCGATTCCAAAATGTTTAATATTTTACCTGTGCTTATTTTATCGTTGTCCTAGTTTTACTAATCATTCGATCAGTTTTTGTGAGTTCACTGTCGCAAGATATTATTACCAAACAATTTATGTTTTTATTCAGTCATTTTACTATGTACTACTCATATATTTTATTCCATTAGGTCTTTGGCACAAGATTTATTCCTGTCAGAAGACGAGTGCGCGACGGTGCAGCCTAAGCTCTCGAAATCCTCGAAGAAGCATTCGAGATGTGACCCTTCGACAAGTAAGAAGACAGGTGAGCCGTTCACTACCACTGCGCCTAAGAAAAGGAAAACCGTCATCAACCCAATCACCCCCGTAATGAAGGCGGCGACGGCTGAGCTTTTCGGCAGCGAGAGTGATGAAGAAGAAGGGTGCTCGACAGGTTCAACAAAGGGTACGCCAATTTACTCTTACGTTACGCGAAAGCTAGCAAATGGGATAAGTCGTCAAACAGACGACAATAAAACTGGCACTCATTACGTTGAGTTAAAAGTTTATTCATGCAACGAGATCAAAAACGTTGCACCGATAAATAGATGGCGTCATAGTATTATTACTATAAAAACAGAACGAACGTCAACTCTGAAGCTTGGGTACATCTAACAGATTACATAAAGACAACTCGCAAAGAATTCAAAAATTGCCCACCCTCATTTAATAGTACTTACTATTAGCATTATTTTTACTGGCCTGTATTGTAGTAATTAAATGTGTTTAACTATAAATATATATGAATAAGTAAATA